ACGTTTTTTTTCTCTTAAATATCTGTATTTTAGGACTGGTCATTGTGCACATGTTGTCACTTGCATAAATGAATGTATGAAAATATGTTTTACAAATGTATATCTAGATAAACAGAGCTGTTATTTCTATGTGTAGCTATAAAGAATAGCATTTCTTAAAATCGTCCAGAATTCAGAGCCTGACCTATCGTATCTTTATATAATGTAAAAAATATTTTTCAAATAAAACAGATGAAGTACGTTTTGTACTAAAATACTAATGCAGTCATTCTACTTCAAATAGCAATAGCAATTTCTGAGTGAAAACTGTTTCTATACTATTTGTGTGTGTGTGTGTGTGTGTGTGTGTGTGTGTGTGTGTGTGTGTGTGTGTGTGTGTGTGTGTATGGTGGGCTTTTTTTTTTTTTTTATTATTCTCTCAAATTTTCTCTATTTTTACTTCTATACCTCTCAGTCATTAATAATCTTCGCCCTAACAGAGCAGAATTGCACATTAACACAGTTGGGTATTTAGCACAATGAAAATCCTTGAACTAGCCCTGGCACCACAAACATCATCCCGTGGCTCCGGTCTGAACAGTGTTGCTGGGATTTGCAGGATTATGTGCCTGTGCACTGCAGAGACAGAGATGGTTAGTGAGACCCACAATGAAGGACTTTCACTCTTAATTCAGCGGATTATTGCCGTGAGATTGTTTATGCACAAACAAAAATCACCACTGAGTGTTCATGGATTGTATATGATAAAGTGTTTCAGTTAAAGTGTAATTCTTTTAATGAAGTAATTCTATTTGGCTCATGTAAATGGCCAAATAAATTAATTAATTTGCTCTTTTTAAGGCCCCGTCCACACTACTCCGTTTTCGTTTAAAAACGGAGAATTAAAACGATTTCGATCTCCGTCCACACTAGCGTTTTATCTGCGTATTAGAATTGATCTCCGTCCACATTAAAACGCCTGAAAACGCGGATCACGTGACCATTCACCAACACTGGTCATGCGTGTGCTGGTGTAAGCAGGAAACGGATTGACATGTGATGGGTGGCTGACGAATCAGGGAAGGATACGTCATGACTGATGACAGTTCACTTTGAAATAAATTTTTGATATGTTTTAGCTTACCTCAAGGGCATCCAAGATGTAGGTGTCTTTGTGTCCACAGTATTTTCAATTTTGATATTTTTAGGTCAAACCGTTCTTGTCTGTCAGTCATATAATGCAGGTCTATGGTCACCACCTCAAAGAGCATGCACAGAGAAGTCCAAATTAAACATGATTTAATGACTCGTAAATGTAAGTACACATTGATGGCCTAAGACCTGGCTGTGTTTACAAGAGGTAAAAACGATATAAATACTGTTCGTTTTCTCACACAAACTGCTCGTTTCGTGTCTTAGGCCATCAATGTGTACTTACATTTACGAGTCATTAAATCATGTTTAATTTGGACTTCTCTGTGCATGCTCTTTGAGGTGGAGACCATAGACCTGCATTATATGACTGACAGACAAGAACGGTTTGACCTAAAAATATCAAAATTGAAAATACTGTCGACACAGACACCTACATCTTGGATGCCCTTGAGGTAAGCTAAAACATATCAAAAATTAATTTCAAAGTGAACTATCCCTTTAAGCCGAACGTGAGCCTCTGCGTCATCGTTTCTAAAGTTCTCCGTTTTGTCCCGTCTTCACTAAAACACCCTCCGGAGATTCAAAACGCAAAACAAAGCTGCAGAGTTTCTAAACTTCTCCGTTTTAGGTCTTCGTTTTTTCCGTTTTAGTCTGGACGGGAGGTGCAAACGTAGCAAAAGATCTCCATTTTTAAACGAAAACGCAGTAGTGTGGACGGGGCCTAAGCCTTTACTGTAATTTCACCACTACAGTGGTTAGATTTTAAGGAGGCCATATTTTGCCCTTTTACAAAGTCTTGATTTTGTTTTTGGGCTCTACTTTTCATGCTGGAATGTTCAAAAAACAAATTATTTTTCAAATATTTGACATGGTTACAGCTCCTCTCTTCCCAGTGATTGTGAAAAATGTTGCCATTGTATGTCATTATTGCTGATTCGAGAATTACAATAGGAACTCACATCATCGTTCAGAGAGAAAACCATTTCCGCCACATTTTCTACATGTAAAACACCAAGGCAGCAGGTTGAGGAGGTGACGGGAAGCCGCCGGATAGCAAATCTATAATAATGTCACTGATTAAACCACCTATCACTCAATAAAATAATCACATTGCTGAGTGTTTTTCAAAGTTTTGTATTTTGTTTGGTTTAATAATTAACATTATGCGAGTATGACTCTCACTTGGCTTGTGAATTAGCCGAACTTGCTCGCAGCCACTTCAAAACCAGCTTCTAGGGATTTCATTTTGAGTGTCATTTGTTGAGATAAATACAAAAAATAGTGTGTCGGTGTCTGTTCGCTGAATGTGACTCTCCGGTTCTCCTCCGTGGCCATTTGTGAAAGTGAAAATTTACAATGACAACAATATTTAGTTACATTTACACCATTCCAACAAAGAAATGGATTGATTCCTGTCAGCTTGTTGAACACATTTATTTCGATAAGTCAAAAACAAAACAAAAGGTAAGCAGGTATCCGTATTAACTTATTATTATTATTATTTATTGTCATTGGAAGTACAACGAAATTACATCAGAGCAACAATCGACAGTGGTTTTCATGAAGTGCAGAAGATCACCATATAAAAACAGTTTGTTTACAGGGCACCGCAATAGACAGCTACCAAGACAAGGGAATATCAAGTTGAATCACTTATAGAGCTACACAGTCCAGTTTCAATTGTTGGAATGATCCATACTAACACCACAAAGGGCCATAGTGACACATAAACAGAGAAGGGGCATATAAGCTGGATCGCTACCAATCAATGAAAATGTATAATTATGTGTGCTGCAACAATGCAGAGTCCAGTTCACAGTTATTGCAGTTGTTGGGTAATATTAAATAATGATAGATGTGTAAATTAAGTAACGGAAGGAGGTAGTCCGCAATGGTGCTCATTCAGCAGTTGAACTGCCTGAGAGTAGAGGCAGTTGGCCATTCTAGTGGTTCTAGCTGGAAGAGACCTGTACCTCCTGCCCGACGGCAGCAGGCGGAACAAGGCGTGTGCTGGATGTATAAACTTCAGTATAAACAGACTCAAAACACCACTAAAGGCGACAACTTTTGGGAAGCGATTAAACCTTCTTGTAGTTTCACGGTTTGATCGATTTGAGCAACCATAAACAATGCAAAAAAAATTTGTGCCCTCCATCTGCATTTCGCGACACAGCAAGCTAACACACTAACTAACTCAATCAGGCCTCCCACCTTTCTTATTTGCGTATGCCTTGTACAGGAATTATTTAAATGAGAAATATAGTGACGTGTTCGTTCCCGGAAGAAAACTCAAGACTACAATGGAGGCGTTTCAGGGAGTTCAGAAACACTGACACTGATATAGAGAAGAACTCCCGCTGGCGGGACTCTGTGCTTTGTAACTTTGCAGACATTTTTCATGCTCAAACAGCAACATTACACACTAAATAAAGCTGGAAATGTAAAAAAAAAAATTAAAATTGTGTCAATGGAAGTCATCAATGCAATCTAAGATTTTTAGGAAAGTGCATCATAATCTCTTGCCTCTTTCCCATTGGAGAATCACTGCAGGTTTATTAGCTGAGCTCTGTATGAGAGGTAAACCAGTGGGGTTAGATTAATAGAGCATTTTGGGATAGCTGTACAGCAACATGTTATATATATATTTTTTTGTGTTTGTGTTGCATTTTTTGGATGTTAATATACTTTCTCTTATAATGCAGACACAACTAGTAGGTCAATTCTCTTGATGAGTGTAAAACTGTAATCTATTTATTTGATCTTCAGGGGAGTGTTTGGGACAGTTTTATTTTAGTATCACTGATATACTATTATAGTTTTTGTTAATATATTGAATTAGATTTTATTTTGGTCACACTTTAGTTTATGGTCCAATTCACACTATAACTAACTATTAACTATAACTTTTACCTCAATAAACTCCTAATTATTGCTTATTAATGGTTAGTAATGTAGTTAAGTTTAGGTATTGGGTGGATTAAGGGATGTAGAATATGGTCATGCAGAATAAGGCATTAATATGTGCTTTATAAGTACTAATAAACAGTCAATTTCCTGATAATATGCATGCTAATAAGCAACGAGTTAAACTAAAGTGGTACCTTTATTTTTATATTGTCTGTTTTCATTTTCTTTTTGTTTTTGTCATTTGTATTAGTTTATATATATATGTGTGTCTACAAAGTTTTGATTTATTTAGTTTTAATTATTTGTATTGTACTTCAACTTAAACTAAATAAAATGAGAAATGTTGCCTTGGCAACTATTGAAAAAAAATAGTTTCTTTTATATTTTATCATTTTTTTTTAGTTCATGTTTATTTAGTTTCAAGTGGCGAAAATATGGTTTATTTTATGGCTATAGTTAATGATAATAACCCTGGTTTGGGAAACCTATATGAAAACCATCATTTTTGCAATTAATTTTTTTTGCAAAACTTTTCCTGGGGGCTTTAAAGCATCCTGTCCTAATGACAGCTGCTCATTTAGTCACATCATGATTGTGGTTAACTATCACGGACCTCCGATTATATGCCACATGTCACCATGCTGACTGCTCAGTCTCCTCACACGCAGAGACCACGCTGTGTGTTCTCAGATAAACCATGGTCCCTTTTAGCTGGCGATGCATTCCCTAGAAGCTGGCGATGCATTTCACAGTAATGACAATAGGCTGGATGAGCTCATGGTACACTGATACCCGGGTGATTATCTACATAAGGCTGAGCTGAAGCACGCAATGTCTGAAGATAGATCTCATAGTCGTCGTAACCCTGTACAGAACTTCTTAATTCCAAATTAGAAGTTCTAAATTCACATTCTAAAACCTTGTTGGGTTTGCTCCATGTAGTGAGTCAGATTACTTACCCAGCATCGCTGCTGTATCCGCATATTAAGGCATCCTTGGATCCTTCCATTTTGTAGAAATTGTCTGCGGGAACAAGAGTGAGAAAAATTCAATTAATTTTACAAGACAGTCAGAGTTAGAATCACTGACACTTTGAACTGCTGTTCAGTTTAATTATAGACTTCATCACTATATGTACTGAGTTTAACAGAAGCTGTCATGTTGATCTAATACTGACTGACAATGTTGGTGAGTTTCATTGATTTGTTTTCAGCGCTGATCATTGAACCTTGTTCAACATTTAAATATTATCCTGTAATGTAGACGTTTGAATCTTTAATCGATTTGATTCATGATTCATTTGTTTTCAGTTCAATGCAAAAGTGATTTTGTTTTGTAAATTCAGAGTTTACAGTACAGTTTACATTTTTGTGATGAAATAAACAATCACGTGGCAAACTTGAGCTCAATTCTATGCAAATGAGATTTGATGCACTAACAGAGAAAGTGGAGCTTTAGGTAAGAAATCATTTTTAAGCGATGCATCAAGAAAACAAATGAATCATCATTACAACGCATTCTCATCCTTTGGCGTCATATAGGTGACGCCATATGACATTTCGTCGAAATCTTACGCACATGGCATCCTTTAGCATCAATATAACACGCACTGTTATGGGTAGGTTTAGGTCTGGGGTAGGGTACGTTTATGACGCCTTGGGTTCTGCGTCTCATATTGATGCTAAAGGATGCCATGTGCGTAAGATTTCAACGAAATGTCCAAAGCGTCACATGTATGACGCCAAAGGATGAAACATGTACATCCTCTACTGTGACATTAATAGTTAACATTTACAATATAAAGCATTATATTCAATATAAGTCGGTTGAACCTTCATTTGTTAAGAAGTCCTTGACGGACAGCCATGTCTTATTGTTACAAACGAAGCTTCCATTGCCGGGGTAGGTGGAGTTAACACAGTGGGCGGGGCTACGGACACACTTCTGGCGTAGGATGCCCATAAAGAGTTGTAGACCAATCAGAGCGAAGACACTGAGACAGAAAACAGTGAGGATCATCACGTCCGCTAGCTTTTTAACCGACTGGATGAGAGCACCGACAATGGTCTTTAAACCTACAGACGTAAAAAAAACAAGAAGGTTAATATTAAATTAAAATATATGCAATATTTTCCACATTTGAACTTATCACTGAATCTAGTGTCTGTATGAAAGCAAAGCTGATCGCTCACCTGGGATCACTGATATTGTTTTTAAAGCACGCAGAACTCTGAACGTCCGTAATGCGGATACGTTGCCGAGGTCCACAAACTCTGTCACATACCTGGAAAGAAAGTGTAGAGTAAAGAAGAGTGCAGTCCGTGAGCATTGATTAATATTCATTCAAAGATGATAATTTTGACTCGCGCCTCAATTTGTAAAACCAAACAAAATTCAGGTGTACAGTAATGCACTTGCACTGGATGCCATTCAGGGGGGGGGGGGGGGGGGGTGTAAATATAATATGTGCAGATTTTGTTTTTATTCAAGTGCTTACATCAATTCTTCTTTATAAAAAATGTTAATAAAGTTAATAAAGTTTCTCATTTGCCTTTTCACACATAAGACTACTTGTCTAGGTGGATGAACATCAGGATTTGTATTCAACCTTGTTCCTGTGGATGGAAAAAAAAACCTTCCTGATCCTTATGGATATCATGTGCAAGTTACTCTAAACTTCTATTTACTGTACATGTGATTTTGTTTAAATGATTTAATGTGGTAGTCAACAGCTCGTCACAGATGCTACATACAGCTGATCTTTCAAATCTTTTTACAAATCTTTATATGCTGCCTCTATTTCACCACAGTATTTATCTAGTTTTGCCACCAGAGGACATGACATCCGAAATCATCTCTGTCCTCTCGTGACTTTACACAAAAAGACATCGCAATAATCTAATCAGCTGGGCTTTATGGGCTTTGACCAGGTTTAGGGTATAAAAACCATTACGACTATGGAATGTTCTCATAATGATAGAAAAACTAATGATAGAAATTTAAAATAAAAATTTAATTTATTTTTTCATGTGACATAGAAAGTATTACCTCCTTTTCAATTCTTTGATTTTACATATCAGGACATAAAGAAAAATCATCTGGTCCCTTGGCAGGTCTTAAAATGAGGTAAATACAACCTCAGACAAACAACAACACATGACATATTACACCATGTCATGGTTTATCTAAAAAAAAAACTTGGCCGAAATGGAGAAGCCGTGTAACAAACTAAGTTACTGCTTCCATAGGAATAAAGAGGGTAAGTAGCAGTCAGGCGCTGATAATCAAATGTCTTTGATTAATTGATCATCAGCAAGCGCGACCAACTCTATAGAAGCAGAAGTTTTGGTAGTTTGCTGGTCGGGAGCATTCAGGTGTGTGTTAACGCAATGACAAGGAGGAAAGACATCAGCGATGATCTTAGAGAAGCAAATGTTGCTGCCATCAATCTGAGAAGGGTTACACGGCCATTTCCAAACAATTTGAAGTCCATTATTCTACAGTAAGGAAGATTATTCACAAGTGGAGAACATTCAAGACAGTTCCCAACAAATTCACCCCAAGATCAGACCGTGCACTGCTCAGAGAAACTGCAGAAAACCCAAGAACTACACCTCAGACTCTACAGGCCTCAGTTATCATGTTAAAGTCTATGACAGTACAATTAGAAAAATACTGGACAAGTATGGCATGTTTGGAAGGGTTGCCAAGAGAAAGCCTCTTCTCTCTAAAAGGACAATGGCAGCACGGCTAAGGTTTGCAAATTACATCTGAACAAACCAAGACGTCTGGAACAATGTCGTTTGGACAGACGAGACCAAAGTGGAGATGTTTGGCCATAATGCACAGTGCCACGTTTGGCGAAAAGCAAACACAGCATATCAGCACAAACACTTCATACCAACTGTCCATCACGGTGATGGAGGGATGATTTTTTTGGCTTGTTTTGCAGCCACAGGACACTGGCACCTTGCAATCATTGAGTCGACCATGAACTCCTCTGTGTATCAAAGTATTCTAGAGTCAAATGTGAGTCCATCTGTCCAAAAGCTTGGCAGATATTGGGTCATGCAACAGGACAATGACCTCAAGCTCACCAGCAAAACTACAACAGAATGGCTAAAATAAAAATGCATTGCATTGGCCCAGTCAGAGTCCAGACCTCAACCTGATTAAAATGCTGTGGCGGGACGTTCAGAGAGATGTGTATGAACAGATGCCCACAAACCTCAATGAACTGAAGCAACATTGTAAAGAAGAGCGGGCCAAAATTCCTCCAGAACAACGTGAGAGACTAAGGCAGTCATATGGAAAATGATTACTGCTAAAAGTGGCTCTACAAGCAACTGAATCATGGGTGTACTTAGTTTGTCACACATGGCTTCTCCATTTTAGCTTTATTTTTGTTAAACAAGTAATGACACGATGTAATATGTCATGCGTTGTGATTCCTCTGAGGTTGTATTTACCTATTTTTTAGACCTGCTAAAGGCCACATGATTTTTATTATGTCCTGATATGTAAAACTATATAATTCAAAAGGGTGTACTTTCTTTTTTCACGTGACTGTATATATAGTATATAAATTAAAATTAGATATAAAATAATAATAAACATTTACTAATAATTAATATTATTATATGTTTGTTTGTTTATTTAATTTTTTAGTAAGTCATAAGGGCACGAGTGGGTCACAAATGTCCAGGTGTCCTGAGAAAGAGATTGACATTTATCTGACCCTACAAAAATGCACGAGAAGAGATAAACCCTCTAAACTTTTAAAAAACAGCTTGGAAGGACAAACTAGAGCGGTTTGTTAATGAGGGGAAATGTTCATCCTGCAGTAGTCTGTCTCTCTCTTCCAGTTAATCCAATCCTCTGCTTTGGTTGAGCTGTAAATGCAGGATATTTAGGTCACCTGACAAATCTCTTTCTGGATACCTGTGTACCTTGATTGACATCTTTCTTGATTCCTCTCTTTCTATTCCACTCAACTCCAGTCTCTCGTCTCCTTGGTTATGATATGCTAATATCTACTTAAAGAACAGTCAGGATTTTTTTTTTTTTTTAACACTTGTTCGCATTTTCAGTCAAGAAGTTGAGATTACATGTCAGTGAATAACAACCTAAATTTAAGTCTGTCTCTCACACAAATAAATTGTAGGACTTGGAATTGAACAAATTAACTACTAACATGAGACTTGCTGGTGTTTTTGAGCTTGATATTATAAATCACTTTTTGCATTTGTTATATTAATCACTTAACCACCCCACACCCTTAAACATACCTGGTATTGTAAATAAAAAATATTGTTGGCTCTTTGATGCTTTTGTGCTTCTTTTAAGGCACTTTGGATGTATAAATGTAAATGTAAAAGAGCAGCATGAACATCAAGCTAAACTTCTCCATTTGTGTTCCAGGGAAGAAAGAAAGTCATATAAATTTGGAATGACACAAGGGTGAGTAAATGATAACAGACTTTTCATATTTCAGAACAGACAGTTCTTTTAGTCTTTACCCATTGATAAAAATGAGATGTCACACTCACGCCATGACAATGACACTGAAATCCAGCCAGTTCCATGGGTCTCGGAGGAAGGTGAAGGGCTCTATGCAGAACCCTCTGGCCAAGATCTTAATCAGAGACTCGAATGTGTAAATGCCAGTGAATGTATACCTGAAAGAATACAAGAGAAAACATGAACTATTTACGGTGAGCTGTTACTAGTCACTACTAACTGGACTTTTTTAAAGGGGACCTATTAAGTCTTGATTTTGTTTAGAATGAAAACAGCTTCTATCTTCCCAGTCTGTCAGTAACGCTCTGTTTAGTTCCTGTCCCTATGAAGCCTCTCCTTCTGAAAAGCATAATGTGCTCTGATTGGTTGGTTGGACCAGTGTGTTGTGATTGGTCATCTGCTTTGAGCGAGAAATGCCCCGCCCCTTTCCATAACCGCGAGTTTCAACACACTACTAACTAACTCAACCAGACCTCGTCCCTTTATTCTGTGTATGCCTCGGGCGGGATTATTGTGGCATGTTCGTTTCCAGAAGAAAACAAAAGACTAAAATAGAGGCGTTTCAGGGAATTCAGAAACAGTGGCACTGATATAGAGAATAACTCGCGCTGTGCTTTGTAACTTTGCAGAATTTTTTTCATGCTCAAACAGAAACACATGTTGAAAAAAAAAACCCATAATAGGACCCCTTTAAACATACATATATAACATTTGCACAGTGATTATTTTGATGCAAGTGGTGAATTGTTAACATGCTGCATGCTTAGATTCAATCTCTTAATATATTCCATGCATGCATATGATGTTTTATTTGAGCTGGGTCACCGTGGCTTTGTATTAGAGAATCTAGAGGCATAATCAGTGAATATGGAAACTCCGGTCATCTGTTAAAATCTAGGTCAGGGCTTAGACACCGGAAACCTGCGCTACGCAGCTTTAGCTTAAATTTAACTGTCACACTCCTGTTTGAATGGGCTTTAATGTTATAGCTCCTCAAAACATAACAGGAAGTGACATCATGGGAAATGTGGCATTCCTGATGCTGCAGGCAGAATGGCGACAGCAGGCTTATGAAGATGCAACTCTTACCAATGTGGTTATCAGGACCCTAGCAAAGCAATTAGATTAAGATGAAAACTCTTTTTAGCATTTCAATACACATTCTGAAGCACATATGCAGGGTTTCTGCAGGTCTAAAAGGTCTTCATTTTCCCTTACACAAATTAAGGCCTTAAAATGTCTTAAATAGAGCAGAAAGTATTTTACTTGAGATGCAAGTGTAAGTCTTGAAAAATGTAACAGAATGAAGTTAGTTTATGCTTATGCTTCATTTTTATACTTTATTTGTTTTTGAGCCCATTGGCAGATATTTGTTCTTGTTTTAAGCATAAATACTTCATTTTGATCAATTTTACAGAAAACAAGATTTCATATTTTATTTCATTTTTAATCTTGGTCTTAAAAAGGTCTTGAGAAAAGTCTTAAACTTCCCCTTATAAAACCTGCAGAATCCCCTAACGTTATATTCTTGTGTATTACAGTCAGTCAACGTGAAATTAATGTAAAATGATTTCTCAATAAATATCCTATTTCACTCATTTTAGAAGTAACCTTAAAATGCATATGTGCAAATAAATTAAATATGCAGCTGTTTGTAGAGTTTAAAACTGTGATCAAATAAGAATATCTATACATACATCTTCTAGAAATAACTAAAAACAGTTGCGATGGCAGTAGTAAAATACAAAATGTTTACTGTTATACAGTATATACTGTAATATATATGTTTAAACATTTAAAGAGAGTCAACAGAATAAAGGTGTTGCTTACTCTAGGTATTTGGTCCACAGCGGAGGATCCGACATCGCCATGAAGCTGCAGTTTGTCAAAATTGTGCACATGATGAACAAGCTAAACAAAGTGAACAAGTTAAGGAAATGAGCAGCAGTTAAGGGTTGTGCACTATTCATAACTAAAGTGATGCTTTCAGAGGTCATAGATCCTCTTCTTAATATCATTAAATCATCTTTGCCATTAGGATTCGTACCAAAAACCTTTAAGCTGGCTATTATTAAACTGCTTATTAAAAAAATGCAGCTTGATCCTACAGAATTAGTCAATTACAGGCAAAGATAAAATCAAAGATACTAGAATAGGCAGTATCCTCATAACTATGTTCCTTTTTAGAAAGAAATGGTATCTGCGAGGATTTCCAGTCAGGATTTGGACTGTACCATAGTACTGAGACTGCTCTCAGGATTTAGTGCTGCATTTGATACCATTGACCACAACATTCTTTTGAATAGACTCGAAAATGATGTTGGCATTAGCGGAATTGCATTAGCATGGTTCAAATCACACTTATCTGACCGTTATCAGTTTGTAGCAATAAATGAAGAGGTGTCCTATCGATCACATGTTTAGTATGGCGTACCACAAGGCTCAGTACTGGGACCATTGCTGTTCACTTTGTACATGCTACCCTTAGGAGATATCATAAGGAAGCATGGCATTAGCTTTCACTGTTGCACTGATGATACTCGGCTCTATATTTCTTCGCGCCCTGACGAAACTGACCAATTCACAAAATTAACAGAATGCATAGCTGATATAAAAAACTGGATGACTAGTAATTTCCTACTACTTCATTCGGGGAAAAAAACCTCAGCACGTAATAATAACCTAGAATACTGTGAGGGATGTTCGTTCAAGTCTTCATCGTCAGTTGGGAACCTGGGTGTGCTCTTTGATACCAATCTTTCATTTGAAAGCCACGTTTCTAGCATCTGTAAAACCACATTCTTCCATCTTAAAAATATATCTAAATTACGACATATGCTCTCAATGACAAATGCGGAACGGTTAGTTCATGTGTTCTTGACCTCAAGGCTAGATTATTGTAAAGCTCTTATGGGTGGTTGCCCTGCATGCATAATAAACAAACTACAGCTGGTCCAAAACACAGCAGTTAACGAGTTTTTACCAGAACCATAAGAACCATACCATCTTTCTATGACCAAATTAGCCCCGGTTCTGTCAACACTGCATTGGCTCCCTATTAAACATCGTATACATTTTAAAATCTTGCTAATTACTTACAAAGCAATACATGGTTTAGATCGCCAGTATTTGAGCGAGCTCTTAACCCATTATAGTCCTTCATGTCTATTTCGATCTCAAAATTCTGGCCAGTTGATAATACCTATATCAACTGCAGGCAGTAGATCCTTTTCCTACTACAAGAGTTTTTTTCTCTGTATGATAAAAACGTTGTCAAAATGATTCTCGTTCACACAGATCCGTAGAAATGACTAAAAACGCTGTATTATGAATGCTAGACAAGTCATTTGGCGATGTCACTTTGTAAAGAAAGTACGCGTGATATATTTGTTTTTTGTGCAAACAAAAAATATATGAACATTATAAGTAAACATTTAAATATTTTTTAAATCCATGAAATGAAGTAAGTTGCATCTACTGTAGGCCAAACTACACAGTAAATGAGGACTTTGCTGATCTAGGGTGTACGTCATGTCAAGTTGCTATCCTGTAATATTCATGATGTCATTTATGCTTATCCTAACTGAAAATATGGACGGATTTCACCCTAGTGATTGGCAAGCAGCTGTTCCTTTACTCTTGTTTTCTGTATTATGGATCTGAGGTTTTAATAGAGCCTGAACATGGACATAGTGGAGGGATTTTCAGAGCCTGTGGCATTTGGGGACAAAACAAGATATCTGAACTGTCCAGTCAGAGGAGACTCTGCGTCACAACACGTGTTTAAACTAAATGTGGGTCATTCTACAAATGATTCTAAAGTCTTTCTAGTATCTAGAAAATGTAGTATTGATGTTCCTAATAACAGTAACTCAGTATATTTTACATCTTATTATCAGAATTTTTGAAAACTTTTTTGTTTGTAAATTTCTGAGCATGAAAATATAGAAAAGCTGGGATAGAATAAAGCCGCTTTTCCGCCGTCGGGTTCTAAGAACAGTAAGGAACAGTTACGGTTGTATTTCCACGTGAGCCTGGTTCGGTTGTCTGTTGACTGGCTGCCAGTTTCCCTGTAGCTGCCCAAGCACACTGTTTGAGCGAAGTAAACACAAGTTAAAAAGAGAAATATCTGTTCATCCTCCATAACACGGTCGCTATTTACATCTCATATCGTCTGTAAACTCTTGCGTTATAAAGGCAACAACTGACGTATTTGTATTACATTCAAAGAACTCCGTTATCTGTCCCACAATGAAAAATGAAACCATATCTGTAAATATGTGAAAAGTATAGCCTATAACAAACTGATAATGTTGTTAAATTCAGATCAAATATTTTTACAAAACAGTATTTTTTAGTCTCAGTAATGTTATGGTAAAAATAATAAATAATTAGATTATTTGGTAACACTTTACTTGAAGGGGTGTGCATAAGACTTACATGACACCTTCATAATCATGACAGGACACATGTCATGAATATGAAGGAGGTTTTATGCATGTTTATGACAACTGTCATTAAGTGTCTTTCGCTCAATAATGACATTTTGAATGCAAATATCTTGACATAAACCATAACATCATAACCTGTCAGTGTCTTTGTCATGACAACTATATTATATTTTATTTATATTATATTATATTTTTCTTGACCTTAACTACAGTGGTACAAATTGAATTTGTCATTAAACAGTTATAAGGGCTTCATGACAGCCAATGTCAAAACCAGCCACCTGACAGTTTAATGTGATGTTAACCAATAAAGCTAAGTGGTTTCTTAAGTTTGATAATTAATCTGCTATGTCATGTTTATGACAGGTTCTGTTGTCTTAGTAATGTCAAGTTGTCATGACAAAGACACTGACAGGTTATGATGTATTGGTTTATGTCAAGGTGTCATAACAAAGACATCTCAAACAATGTCATATTTGCATTAAAAATGTCATTATTGAACGAATGACACTTAATGACAGTTGTCACAAACATGCATAAAACTTCCTTCATATTCATAACATGTGTCATGTCATGATTATGAAGGTGTCATGTTAGTCTTATGCACACCCCTTCAAGTAAAGTGTTACCGATTATTTTGTCAAAGCAAACAGGGTAGTGATAAATAAAAAAATGTTTCTTGTTTGAAATTAGGTAAAATGTCAATATATTATTTGATTGGTATAAAGTATTAGAATTTTTGCAATAGCAAGTGGGCGTTGGTAAAATGTGATTTTATTTTTTTATACAAAAACATTTATAATTCAGATCAATTTATGTATATTTTGTGTCAATACAAACAAGTTAGTGGTTAGTTATGATAAAAAAAAGAAGAAGAAGAATTAGATTGTTTTTTTGTCAAAACAAACAGGTAGTGATAAATAAAAAAACTACAATTATTTATTGTGACCTTGTTTGAAATTAGGTAAAATATCAATATATTAATTAATTAGTAAAGTATTAGCATGTTTGTATTAATATCATTATTATAATTTTTTCAATAATGATGAGTTTAATAAATTTAACATACAGTACAGTAGAAATGTTACCGTAGTTGAATGTAGAATGTAATATATGTGTATTCTGGTAAAGCATGATGACAGTAACCTGGAGTGACATTGTGATACAGTCTGTTTGTCCCTTTCTCTTTAAAATATGAATGGTTTTAATTGTTTTAACACAGAAACGACTGAGACAGGACTGGAAACCTGCGTGCATCATGACCGCGGACACTCAAACATCTGTGCATGCAGCTGTCACATGATGACAAATCACTGCGCTCTTATTTCATTTGGGGAATTAGAAGAGGAATATCAGCGGATTTGGTTGGCGATGCCAGGGAAGAACATTACAGAGCTGTTTCAGAGATGAGACCAAATCCAATAGAACTCTGATGGTAAATATTTCAGATTCGCCTCACAGTGTGAGCAGCTGGATATCATTTTGCTGTTGGTCCAGATTTTTGGCTTTTGATGCCTTTTGATAATATCCTCATTAGTTTCAGAGGCCTAATGCGAAAAAACAAACCACTTTAAATTCTGTTTCTACGTTTTCTGATAATGTGTTTGCCCGTGCAAAAACCACCAGCATGATACTACGATGTTGTGGATGGTTGCCAATGCACTGCGATGCAGTTCCTCTGTGATATTTGGGGTAGATTTCTTTTTTTAGCATGTTGCTTTGTGGTTGTTAGGAAGTTCTAATGGTTGCTAGGTGGTTATTTACTGGCCCAAGTCAAAATAGCCTGCCACCCAGCTCTAGTTTCTCATACATACCTTTTTGAATGGCGCTTTTGGAAAGCAGATTTATATGGTTATAAAATACCTCGCAAATGAAAAAGGAAATCAGGTCTTAATGTCTGATATCTGCGCAAGTTATTAAACACGAATCAGAAGCACGGCTATAAACAGACCAAATCTCTGTGTAATTCTCCAAGCAAGTAAACATGCACACATAGAGAAACGTTCAGTGGAAGGATATGAATGGACTAGAATTCGTATGGAGATTCTTCTAATGCAGTGAAACGGACTGAATATGTAGAGTGCAGATGTGGCACTGAAGCGGAAGATGGCTTTTCCCTTGTTTACTACTATAAAAGTCTGTAAAAAGAGAAAAAAAAGAAGAGAAACAGTCAGTCTGAACACATGAAATGTCACTATTCTGCATCTAAAGATATATAATGGTCAAAGATTTGTTGTCAGAATGATTTAAAAAAGAAAAAATTACGTTTTAAGACATTCATAATGTAATAATGTTAAATGTAAATGCAAATAATGTTAAATCATTATTTTGACCTTTCTATTCTTTAAAAAAAAACATAATATTAAGCATTCAACTGTTTTTAAACATTGATAATAATCAGAAATGGTTCTTTAGCAGCAAATCAGCATATTACAATGATTTCTGAAGGATCATGTGACACTGAAGACTAGACTATGCTCAAAAAGTAAATAAATGGATTAATGCATAACTACTGCATAAATATAATTTAGTACCATAAAATCCCCTAAAGACACAAATATTAAATAAAAAACATTATCAAACTAAAATATAGTACAGTAATTTCATTGAAATTATTATAATAAAAATAATCTGTCATTTTTTACCACCACGTGTAGAGCACCAGAGGGTTAAAATGTAATCATGTTTCACAATACCACTATTTTTAGAAAAGACAATTGATTAAATAGATACATAAATTAAATGTTCAGCTAATATTTAATCAGACGAATCACAATACACCAGTGACCAAATTGGCCAATAATAGATATTCACTCTCTGTAATAGTTTATTCTGATTTGTCTTCTGCTGTCAATTATGTTAATGGGTTGTACATTTCAGAGGTTGCTTTATCGAATAGATATGCAGAATTGATGAAATTCTTAATTATGTGTCAGATCACATGTTTCTCCTAATATTAAGTGGAAAGAAATAAGTCAATAGGTAACATATAGTAATAGTAGAGCGCTGTAAATAAATGTGGACAGCAGTTTGATCGTTTGATTGCAGACTTTATCTTGGCAAATCTGAGCACAATTTGAGACATTATCTATTCTGAAAGGCCCTGTGTACACCTGGTAATAAGACGCGTTGCGGTCGATTGGATCACAAGTGGACGACACTAAATACAGGTGTGAACGGGGTCTAAAATATTGTGAGCTTGTCCACTTTCGACCACTTCCAGAGGTGGTTGAAAACGCATTGGACTAGTGTAAGCAATATTGTTTACACTACGAAACACTATTGCTTTCGTAGTGTAAACGCTCATGTGATTGAATGTGTTCGAACAGCCGCAAAAGACCGTCTACTCTCCGTCTACTGACCTAATGTGTAAACATTATGGGAAGTGCACTAGCCAGACGGGATTTAAACTTTGTCAGCTGGAGACCCAAGTTTGGTTTCGAAGATGAAAAATGTACCAAGCACAATGTTCTCTCACCATTCCTGATTTCTAATATCTTGCGGCTATCAGAGAAAATTGCGTGAGCTTATTTTGTCCATTAGATCGAAAGATCTGAAAAACCCCACACATTTACCCGCCCATAGACCCTTCCCTCGAAGAAATCAGGACAGAAGTCGTTGAAAGTGGACAAAAGAGACGGATTAAAACACCAGGGGCTCTATCTTGCACTCGGCGCAAATGACTTTGTACACTGACGCATGTATCATTCCTATTTTGCACCCGCGCAAAGCGGACTTTTCCCTCCACAGACCCACGTATGTTAACTAAGAAATACACTTGCGCTCCCCGGTGCGGTTCAGCGCAAAGAGGAGGCGTGTTCCGGCGCAAACTTTCCCTCATACTATTTTGTTGTTCTATAAAACAATTGTGCCACTGACCAGAAAAAACCTAGTCTAAAGTCAGTGGCGCGTTGCGCGTTGTTCATTATGCTATTTTAAGGGCGCAGGCCATAATTAATGTAGCGTGTGCACAACGCGCATACACTTTGATTCTCTCATCTAAGCAGCAGTTTTCATTTTTGCAAATCATACATTATTACGATAGATAGATAGATAGATAGATAGATAGATAGATAGATAGATAGATAGATAGATAGATAGATAGATAGATAGATAGATAGATAGATAGATAGATAGATAGATAGATAAACAATTTATTATAAAAGCATACATGTAGCTTACACATTTACCCAAATTATCATACGCCTGTTTAACAGAAGTTAATTTGGGTGGGTTTCTCCATCCCCAATGTCACTTCTCTGGCTTTTACGGCCCTGACGAGAACGTTGCTCTCCTCGGCTGTGAACCGCTCCTGGCGCGCGCCTGGCAAATCCGCCGTTATAATAGGAATCCGCTTTAGAACAAGCGCGCCTGCTCTTAAAGGGAATGTGAGATGACGCTCTGATTGGTTTATTTCACGTTACGCCCAAACCACACCTATGAATAATGAAGCTACTTCAGACCAACCCCTTTTAGATTTGCGCCAGGCGCAAGAGTCATTTATCCCGCCGGGAAAATAGCAACAGCGCCGGGATCCGCCCACAATGTTACTTGCACTTTGCGCTTTGACACTTGCGTTTCAGATCGTTAAAATAGGGCCCTATGTGTAATCGGGAATGTCTCTCCCTCGTCTACTTGTGATCCAATCGACCGAAACTCATCTTAATACCAGCTGTAAACAGAGCCAAAGAGACAAAAGTTCAAGGGTCCTGTTTTTCAGGAGATGTAGGAAATATTCTCCATTTTCTCTCCAGGTAATCTCATTGCTCTCCTGGAGAAACCAGAGCAGGACCAAGAGGGTGATTTCAAGGTAGATGATTCAGAAAAAAATGAAAATGTTTTTCCACAGGGTTTAAAAATGCACAAGTACGTATCTCGCTGCTATGCAAGACAAAAAGACATGCACTTATATAGATACATCTGTTTATTCATGGACTGTGGCAATATTCAACTAAAAACACAAACTTCACGTCCATTAGGCCTCATTTACAGCACTTAGTCTTTTTTTAAGATGCACTAAAACATCTTGAAGGCCACTTGTAACCTCAGACTGACTCACCCTCTGATTCTTGAAGTAGAAAGGGTCGATGTCCTCCAGCGGGACTCCGACCAGTCCTGCGGGTATTTCACCAAAGATACGAGGCAGCCCCTTCCCGGCCTCCAGGTCAGCACGGGGTTTGGGCTCCTCCATGTACCCGGGGTCCGCCTTGTAATCCTTCGTGTTCTTCGTCCGCTCTTCGCTGATCCTCTGCTCGATGGCCGCCAGAGACTCACGTGTGTACGGTCGCAAGCCATCAGGACCCGCTGGTAAGAGCATGGTCGCCATCTTTTCATCCTGATCGTCCTGTACTAGAAGTTACTCAAAGCTAGATGGAGTCGGCCATGAGACAGAGAGAAAAATATAGTTAGTCACTCTATTAGCTTGTTGTTTTGCAATTTACAGCACAATGACTGTGGGTTGAGTCCCCCTGGAGTCACCTGGTGTACTCTAAGGCATGATGGGGATTCCTCAGGGACTTTCATGCTCACGGGATGTACTAGGGATTAGACTTGTATCATCTAAATTCCTAGTTCATACACCCTTATGAATAAAGGTTTCAAATGGGAGGTGCCAAAGAAGGACCATTTTTTATTCCGTAAAAAACCTTTCAGTGAACAGTTCATCAAAAAAAAACATTTTTTTTCTTAGTGTGAAGAACATTTTAATAATCAAAAGAACACTTTTCCACTGTGGAGAAGCTTTTGTGGAATGGATGTTTCTCAAGGAACCATCAATGCCAATAAAGAGCCTTTATTTTTAAGACAGTAGCGTTAACCTCCAGACTATCGAATCACCAGTCTTTGAATACGGAGCCTCGTGGAAGCTTGTTTCCACCACTGAATAAAAATGATTTCACAATTCTGACTTTTTTTTCTTCCAATTGCGTGATATAAACTCAATTGTGAGAACAAAAGTCAGAATTGCGTGATATAAAGTCTTTTTTGAGTTCATCTGAATTAAAAGAATTCTGAATTCATCCATTGACAGGTGTGGCAAAAAGTTAGTTTTAGACCCTGTTTATAGGTATTTAGCAGTGGCATTGTCATGCTTGTTTATCAAACAAAATAAGCTAATTGCCTGCACACAATATGAAAGCATTGTAATATAATAATATAATATGCAAGGATAAAGTTTACAGTGTCTTCATAACATAAAAAAGCAAAACACATCTGATTCTTTGTTCTACATTTTCTAGAAGTGGAGTTTAAAAGCCTTGCTGTTATTTTGTGTAGTCAATAAAGAGAAGACACACAGCCATCTTACTCCAACGAAAGTGACTTAAACGCACCTTAAGTCATAAACACGACTTTCCAACTCGCTAAAATGAACTTCCCACTCAGAAAAAAAGGTACAAAATCTGTCACTGGACCAGTACCCTTTGAAAAGGTACTAATATGTACACTAATAATATGTAAAGGTATAACCCCAGTGACAGCTCTTGTACCTTTTTTTTTCTGAGAGTGCCATGTGGCTCTTCTGCATCTGTGTGAAAATGAGGAGAACTGACTTCATAATTAAAAATCATCAAAACACCAGCTGATTCAAACACATTGAGCAAAAATAATGAAGGAAAGTAAAGAGAAAAGCACATGCAGATACAGACACTTGATCTGGTATTTTATCTATTTCAGACATTTTTTGAACCCATTTGACCTAAAATATGTTCTTGAAGCCTGAGATTTGAAGGTAATGTTTTAACACATTTGCATGTTTACGGTTCTCTGAAGTCAGTTAATGGTCCTGTAATATTGACCCTGTAATAGGGCGAATCTTTCTAAGAACATGTATAGATCATATTTTATTTGTATGAATAAGAAATTATATTTTACATAGAGAATCTGTTCTTTGCCATTCTCAATACTGTAATGCACACATATCTTCCATTGAATTTATGATTCTCATTCTCCTCCTCCATGATCATTTTCATTGTATTATTACTGTAATGCAGTAACTAAAATCATCCTGTCTGAACACAATATACACTCCTGTTCAAAAGTTTGGGGTTGGTAAAAATGTTTTAATGCTTTTAAAAAGAAAAAAAAAAGTCTAGCGTGGACGGTGTCTGGATTTTCGTTAACAGTATATCACTTTAAAAGTATTTCCAACTTCTTTTTACTACTAAGCAAAGAACCAAAAAGAAATTCATACAACGTTACGTGAGCACCAACAGTAAGTGTTGCTGCAGTTCACTTAACAGCCATTGGTGTCGCTAATAACAAGAGTTTCCGAATTCTACATATAGCCCCTTTAAATGCAATTTTTGTGTTTTAATTCAAATTAAGTGCTTTAATTGTCATGAAAATAGTCACAAAATGCATGCATTTTTATGCAGAAAGGAATATGATCTGGACATGTTCTTGACAGGTTTTGTATGATTCTTCCAAGTAGTTCATGGTGACTTTGCATGAAAGTTACAGAAACATATTCCAGTAGTCATGTGTAAGATTCTCAAATCTTAAGCGATTATCAATTCCATCTAGTGATTTCTTGTTTCTTGAATGTTCATTACACAATGTTTAGAAATTCATGACTGAACCAGAGGCGGATTCATTCAGTACACTTATACAGTATGTTGAAAAAGGAATCATCCATTAAGTCCAGCGTGAAGAAAAGCTTATCCAGCCTTGACCTTTTCCTTGACTTCCTGCTTCATCTCTTATCCTGAATGGAACATCAGACTAAATTGGTGTCAGGCAGGGCATGCATTAAAACTGATGACTAACAGGCCTAACCCGCTCTCATTTGTAGCCTGTGCTTTTATTGCAGTTTAACTCAGCAGCTGGAGTGACGTGTTTCTGAAGATTAGCGCATGGAGAAGGAAGTTCCTGTTCCTTCCCTGGCAGACATGTTTCAAACTCTTCACCGCCAACTAGAGCCAGAAAGCGTTATCTAACCCACAGCCTCAAAGTGGCTTACGGCGGCTTGATCTGACCCACAATTCTAGGCTGTAGCAAATTACTCAGCTGTCAGTTTAGACGCATAGTGCTTCTTTTGTAAGAAAACAAGCAAAAACATATACCAACACGATTCTCCAAGCTGGTCAGGTGCTGCTAGTCCAGAATAGCAAAACTAGCTGGTGAAGTTTAGTTAAGAGGCCTGTTGAGGGCACCAACATGCTGGTTTTACAGTTTTTTAGGGGTTCAAGCGTGTAGTGTTGAAAACCTATTGTAATTGTTATAATTTCCAAGGATCAGCATTCTCCCATTAAAGTGATCGGGCAGACCAAACCATAGCCCCTTTCACACAGCGCTTTGAACCCGGCAAATTGCCAGAGTGCCTTCTGTGTGAACGCAAACACGACCCGGGACTGATGCCGGGATCGATGCCGGGTTGGGGACCTAGTAACATTGCCGTGTTCAGACCCGGAACGCGCGCTGTGTGAACAAAAGCCGTAACCAATGCCGTGTCGTAATGATGACGCTGAAGTGAAGTGAAAGCAGGCTAGTGAAACGGTCCGTAATGCGCTAGTTTATGATCGAATCAGAGAAAAAAATGCACAAGCGTGGTTTCTCCAGAGAGAAATCGCAGCTCATAAGAAAACTATACACGTTGCTGAGACATTACATGTCACATCGATGTCACGTGTCTTTCCGGAACATACACGGGTTGTGTGTGAACGCGCTCTCTGATTCCGGCAAATCACTGGCAGTGTGAATGAAGCAAAATCAAACGAACCCGGGTCAATTCCCGGGTCGCTTTATCCGTGTATTTTCCGGAATCTCTGTGTGAAAGGGGCTCTTAAGTCGTAGAGACTTGAAACTTTGAGGGATGGTAGTACCAACCCCATCTACAACGTCACCAAGGCTCGCCCCAATCGGCCTGATGGTGGCGCTACAACGATCAAAAGTCTGTAATGGATCATAACTCGTTTTTTTTTTTTTTTTTGGAAAAACCTACTTTTGCAAACTAGTTCTATAGTTTTTTGCCCGATTGGAACTAAACCAGTGCAGAAAGATTCTCTGGAGTCTGATTGTCAATAGACATCACAAAAAGAAAGTCGAAATTTCGATTCACGCCCATGACGGGATGCCAAAACATTTGAAGTGGCTGTGGAAACTTTTACTAAAACTGTTGAACAGAATAAGATGATTTCACCAAACTCGGCACACCTATATATGGCCCTGGTCTGTGGACGGATGAAAAGGGATGCAGTGCCTGGCCACTTGATGATCTACAGCTACGCAGTCAGTCCGATTGACTTTGTCAATGACGCGCTTGTCTACGAGGCGCCATCGGCCAATGAAATTTGAGCGGCTGTCAGACAAGGTTAGCGGAGGCCGATCGGAACGAAACTCGCTGGGACTGTGTGAATTAGAAAGAAATCGGCCACAGGGGGCGCCTTCGTGTTTATCACATGCGTTAAGGATTGTATATCACGCGATTTTTCATTCTGAGCAATTTTGCCTCTAGGACCACCGTTGTCAAACGAATCGTTCGTTAAATATTGGAGATTATTTCAAAGACCGACTTTCGCGAACTAGTCCTAGGTTTTTGTCTTCAACCTCAATAACTGATAAAAAGCTTTAAAATAACCATCTATGATCTAGGTGGTTACAGGCTTGCTAAATAAAACATAACATCTTTTAAGCATGTGCTTAGAGCGCTTAAACCCCGTTAATTTCTGCTTGCATCTGTATTTTTATTCACTTTGGTACTATTTTTAAAAGTAATTTGTACATTTTCAAAACTCTTAGCACAAAACTCCCGACTGATCACACTTGTAACACAGCCAGTCATTCTTTCGAAACCTGATCTCATACTTTCATTCTAGTTGTGCATTATTTTCATTCTACATAATCATTGTTTCAAAACACAAGATAATTGTGATATGTTATGAGAGCATTTGGTTTAATCAACGAAACACAACAGTATGATCTTCTTTCAATTTAGCACTTTTAACATGTTTCAAATCACCCCTGAAATAGTTTTTTTTTATTCGCTTTGGTAGTATTTTCACAAGTAAGGTGTACAAAAGTGCACTTTTTTCAAACATTCACTACACTGTGTGTGTGTGTGTGTGTGTGTCAGAGAGAGAGAGAGAGAGATTTGCAGTTTGTGAACAGAGCAGGATAGAGTTTAGTAACATCAGATTGATCAGAGATAGATCAGTAGAAGGGAGACAGATGGCGTCAAATGCAGCATTTTACATTACAGTATGTATGCCATGTGATACTGTAAACAGATTACCATGGTAGAGACTGACACATTACTGTAACTCACCCTTATAAAGGTAAACTACTACAGTATAGACTGAGACAATGTACAGTAAAAACATTTACTGTATTGTCAGCAAACTCTGTTGTGCAGAACCTCATGGCAGTTTCATAACTTCATCACACCATTTGATAACACACTAGATAGATACTATTGCAAAAATGATGGATTCAATTACATAAGTTAGGTAATGTACGTGTAACCCTGTATTACTGTAATTGATTCAGCAACCAGGGTGATTTGAAACATGTATCTTGCATTGTTTGCTGAGTGAACTGAGTGTTAAAAGTACGAAACTGAAAGAAGATCATACTCTTGTGTTTCGGTGATTAAAGCAAATGTTCTCATTACACATTACAATAATAAAGTGTTTGAAACAATGATTATGTGGACTGAAATGTGTATAACTGTAACGAAAGCATTGGATCAGGTTTTGAAAGAATGACTAGCTGAGTTACAAGTGTGATCAGTTTAGATTAGTTTCAAGAGTTTTGAAAATGTAAACCTTGTGAGAAAAAAAAACTGTAATAGGCTACAGATGCCACATTAGACAACTTGCATTACCTAACTTATGTAATTGAATCCATATTGTTTGTAATAGTATCTAGCCAGTGTGTTCGAAACGTGATGAAGTTATGACACACCTATGGGAGTTTTGTGCTATAAAACAGTATATGCTGCCAATACAGTAAATGTTCTCTCTGTATATGACTCAATCTATACTACTGTTTAATATAATCTGGCAGTCTCTAGTTTTGCCTCTGTTTACAGCATCACATGGCATACTGTAATGGAAAATGCTGCTATATGTTCACAAATTGCAAATCTCTGTCTCTCTCTCTCTCTCTCTCTCTCTCACACACACACACACACACACACACTTACGTGTGCACACACTTTGAACATAGTGATTCTTATCTATAAATCACTTATGCACACAGAATTCATAACATTTGGTTACCCTATCCGAAGTTGCAGTTGGATTAAATACTAGACAAATGTATTAAACTGAACGAGAAGAGATGCACATCAGAAGTTTGACAGTAAGAGCTTTATGAAAGGCTCTTACTGTAAATATACAATATAACGTTATATTGAAACTTTAATTTCCCAACTGGGATCAATAAAGTGCTACTACTACTACTTATACATGAAACATATAGATAAAAACCTCATTTTGTGTAGTGAAAAGGACTTTGTGGTTTTGTGTATTGTAATAATACAATTGAAAATATATGGAATGTTTGAAAAAAGTGCCCTTTTATGATCTGCTGTGATATTAGGCCTAAGAGTTTTCAATTGCTTGTGAAAATTGTGCCAAAGCAATTAAAAAAACTGTCAAATGAACTGAAGTGGTTGATGCCTATATAGCCTCACTCTGAGCAAGTGTCGTGTACAAAACACAACAAAACACTGCACTACAACAGCATGTGTTCTCGATGGCTTTACTCTCAGGCGACAAAAATGTGATTTCTGGATTACAAATGCCACGAAACTTGCAAACTTTACAAATGTAATTAAATTAAAGGGGTATTTATTTTAATTCAATTGTAAACGGCTCATAAACACTTGATCACTAGTAAAATACTGAAATAACCTTTTAAACATGAAAGTTTTATGCAATCATTTAAGAGATATCTCCTCATATAGAACCTTTTTGGCAAACCGGGTTCTTTAAAATTTAGTCGAGAACCCAAGGGTTCTAAATAGAACTCCATTGAACCTTTTTTTCTAAGAGTGTGTTAGAGGATCATAATACTTTTCTCGGTTCTCATTTAAAATTAAAGGTCTGTCCCCATGTACAGTATTTCTGAAGCTTTCAGATGAGCCTTTACAGCCATTACAAAGACCACTCGGAACATAAAAAGAGTCATTTAAATTACAAATCCGCCGTATCATTTCCTGACCTTTGATCAAGCTGATGAGTGTTGAAATTAACACTTCTTCAGCTAATAATGCAAAATCAGTGTGTGTCGTAGATTTTTATGTGATATCAGTCTAAATGACTCTCAAACGTAATGTAATCAAAGTCAGGATTTTGTTAATCGTCTTAACAGGCAGTACTTTCACAAACACACGTTATATTCTGTCTTCAGAAGCGCTACACACTTGTGCTTCCTCCAGGTTCTTCATTTGTATCTCTACTCTTGATTGTATTAACTTTTTCAGCAGGTTATTTTACGTTGAATAAACTTGTGGGTTTAGAGACTCTGATCATGCAGCACGGCCTCATCAAAATTCGATTTAGTAGACCAAATTCTCTTTTTATGCATCTTAAATTTTAATCTTATGTTTCATGGTTTACATCATGCCACTTTTTTTTTTATCTATTTTCATTGGTTGAGGAAAAAAGGATCAAAATAGTCAGCCATATGGTCATACATTTCAATACAGCTAGCTTATTGATAATTGCACAAAGCCAATTGTAATATTTCATCCAACAGACAAATGACACCTGTCAGTTTTTAATCAAGTTTACATTGGAATTGCTTATTCTTTCAGACAATGTGGAACCAATGCAAGCATTTTGAAGCAAATATTTCCTCAGAGCAAACAGGTATTGTATTATTGAGTCACTTTTACAGAGACGTTTCGAAGAATTAAGGCATCGTAATCATTACAAACATCCACTCGTTTTCTATATCCTATATCAATCATAATGCTGTACATTAAGTAAGGCATTATATCTTTTCGTAAATAAACTAAAAATTAAGTCATGCTGATAAATCAATATTTGGCCATTTTGAGAATTTCTGTAAATATTTTTTTTTTTTTGTGTGTGTGAAGTGAGTAAATATTGTTTAATTTTTTGTTATATGTCTAAGCAATTTTATGTACATCTCACTTGCTTATTAAATTATATAATGCAAATTATTTGCAGTTTTTGGGGCAAGATTGAACTTGAAAACCTCTGCTTAAAACTAATTGAAACTCTAAATCCTTATCAATTCATGCTTAAACTGTTAAAGAGCATAAACTTATGAAACAAGTTGCTGACCATGTGATTTAAAGTATTACAGTGTTTAAATATTATAATGCATGGCAAGTACATATGATGAATTATAAGGCATTATGAACGCATTAGGAAAACGAACTGAGATACTATTATAGTTTTTATTAATATTTTGAATTTTTTTAAAAGTTTTAGTAATATTGCTGTGTGTTTTTGTCATAACGATCACATTGGACAAAGGACAATTTCAGTATCTATAATATTGCAGTATCTTTTTTTAAAAACAATTTGGTTACACTTTTTAAGGCGTCCGTGTAACAGTGTAATTATACATTTAAGTACTGAGTAATAACTACATATACTTACCTGAGGGTTAGGAAGAGGGTTTGGTTTAGGGTTAGTTGCATGTATCCATAATTTATAGTTATTATTACTACAGTAACTACATGTAACACAAGGACACGGTAAAATAAAGTACCAACAATTTTACTGGGATTTGGAAAGAAATCACGACTAAAATTCCTGAAAATTACAACAGCACACAAGTCATGCTTTCACTGAATTCTCAATACTCTGACCTGATAAAACCAACAGATCCATTAAGGATCATTAAATGGGAGGCGTCATGTATATTATGGTCACCCATAATGCATTATATCTATGTCCACCCTGCAGGCCATCTGAACTCCAGCTGATGAGAGAGAAGTGAGGACAGAGTTCAAACATTCAGCGCAGAGAAATACATCCTCCTGGACTTTTTCATTAGTGCATGTGACACATGATTTTGTCCAAAGTGCTGAACCCACAACCATTAACACGAGGATGAGTGAATGAGTTCTTTTCAGGTTGAATTCACTCTTAAAATGTTTACACTGTCTTTATGCTTCAGTTCTGCACTATATCAGCATTGCAATTCTGTACAAAGGGTCACATGATCACTGACACTTTAGTAATAGTGCAGATGATTTTTTTGAATATAGACTAAATTATTTTTCTTTAAACTTTTCTTTCTTTCAATGTTTTCTAAATCCTCAAATGCTTCAACTTATATCTCAGTTGAAATGAAAAAGAAATTATTTTTCCTTTTTTTTTTAGTGGACCTTCAGTTTTGTTCTGTTAAAATATGGAAATATCAACACTGATCTGAAGAACCTGCAGTATATTGGAACAACAACTTTTTTAATGTGCAAAGAACCATACAGTATAGAACTAAAGAAAAGAAGGAGGTTCTTTGCAGAACCTTGAATAATTTTTACTTTTATGTCTGAACTGTTATAGTTCAATGCCTTTTTAATATTGCATATGGGGAATTACACCTGCAACGAATTGGAACTCTACAAAGATTTCAAAAATGTATTAACTTTTATCGTTTTAAATGCAAATAAAAAAATGATCTTACATGTAAACTCCGTTAATTGCAGCACTGCGTCCACGCATTTCCATGTATTGCGCTGATGTAAATCCAAAATCCCAAACTGATCCATGATGGGAATAACCCCAATCCCAGATAAAGTATTCCGTCAAGGACTCTGGAAGATTTTTCAGACTGTCTCTGTTGCTGTAGGTAAACAAATTGTTGTTCGTTGAAATCTGGATTCCGCACAAATGCATTAGTAGGCTACTCTTAAATCCCACGCAACGCTCATTTTACGTGTTTTACGCGATCCAGATTGAAAGTTTATCTATATCCCAGCATTCACTTAAGAAAGAACTCTGTATCCAAACGTTGTCCGTGCTTCCCATTGAAGATGTGACTGAATTTTTAAGCCATTTACGGATGTGTCCAGCTTGTTTGGCGCACAGCATGAGTTTGCGCGTCTCTGCGCGCGCCCTAGAGCTGCTGCAGGATTACGCGCATCATAACCAAACATTTGCGCGCGCCAAATTAGATAATAAACAAGAAAAAATGACTGTAAGACTTTTTTTATTGTAAGTACTGATTGTTTTGACTGGTGCCTAATGCAGAGTTCACTTTGGGTACGGCTGGGTTGTCCTTAAAGGATGGTTTTAACGTCAGGATTTGTGTTTCCAGTGACTGTCATATCTTTAAAAAGTAGTAAATATATGTTTTTACTTTTTCTTAACGGTTGCACTCAACTACTCGCTCTATTTAGTACAAAGGATCTCTCCCAAACACTTTTGGTTTGCTTTCTTCTATGACGTGAATCGTGATTAATATCACAGCTTGTACTTTAATATGAAATGCATGCGCTACAATTCATCGAAGCAACACGAAAAACTCTTTAGCGTTTAATAATTGATTTATTATTCAGCATCTCCCTCTAGTGGCCTCAGTGAAGTCTTTACGTCTTTAAGATTTCTGCTTCTGTTTTTAATATATAAACCACCTTACTCACCCTAGCACCTTCCTGTTTATAACAATTTTTGGCATACTTATCATGGTCATATGATATTACTGGGCCTGTATTATTATGTAGGCCTACATATGATCATCCTCTGTATGCTAATTCTTGCCTTGTGTCCTGTAATACTGATGCTCTGCCGGTGGTGGCAGCACTGCAGCGCGTGAGTGACGGATACACACACACACACACCGCCTGACAGACAGCGAGGAAGAAGCGTCCAGCTCGCAGTAACAAACATTTGAGCACTCAGTTGTCGGCTTAAGTGTACATTTTAGTGAATTAAAGAGAACCATGTCGGAAAGAAAAGTTTTGAATGTAAGTACCTCTTTGTTTACTTCTATATTATTATTGCGCTGCGGCTTAAGGTGGATTAGAGGAGTAGTATCCAGATAACCATAACAGCATGCTAATGAAGTAGCAACGCAGTCTATACATCATGTATTAAGCATAGACAGTATAGGTATTAAGTTTAAGTATTTAAGTAATGTTTTCTATGCACTTTAAGTACATAACATTGAACACACTTAACAGTTATTAAGATGAACCTCGAAATAAGTTTCTGTTTGCAAAGTTACGCTTCTGTGGTGAACTGTCACTTACAGCATTTCTTCTTGTTTTTCCTCAGAAATACTATCCTCCGGATTTTGATCCGTCTAAAATCCCGAAACTCAAACTGCCCAAAGACCGTCAGTATGTGGTCAGATTGATGGCACCATTTAATATGAGGTGAGACAAGTTTTATTTTTTAGTTTATATAACTATTGCCAATATATCACACATGGTTTGAGATAGAAACACAAGTCTGTCATGACATGAGGTAACGTTAAGTTATAATGTTTGGAATTATTGCAGGTTTTATAAAAGGACATGTTTTTAGATATAAATAATAAACAATAATATTCAACTATTTCATACAGCACTTTATGCAGCTTCTCAACTAATGATACAATTACAAAGAAGAACAACAATATACACTACCGGTCAAAAGGCTGCAAACATTAGTATTTTTAATGGTTTTAAATTAAGTCTCTTCTGCTCACCAAGGCTGGATTTATTTGATCAAAAATATAGGGGGAGAAAAACTGTAATATTGTGAAATATTATTACAATATAAAATAATGGTTTTCTATTTGAATATACTTTAAAATATAATTTATTCCTGTGATGAAAGCTGAATTTTCATCATCATTACTCCAGTCTTCAGTGTCACATGATTGGAAACAGTTGTGCTGCTTAATATATTTTTAATAACCTGTGATACTTTTTTCAGGATTCTTTGATGAATAAAAAGTTATTTTTAAATATATTTTTTATTTTTTTCTCATTTATTTAAAATATAAATATTTTCTAACAATATACACTACCGTTCAAAAGTTTGGGGTCAGTAATTTTTTTTTCTTTTTTTTTTTTTTTTAAAGAAATTATTAATGTTAAGCAGCACAACTGTTTCCAACATTGATAATAATAAATCAGCATATTAGAATGGTTTCTGGAGAATTGTGTGACACTGAAGACTAGAGTTATGGCTGATGAAAATTCATTTTGCAGCACAGAATTATATTATATTTTAAAGTATATTAAAATAGAAAACCATTATTTTAAATTCTAATAATATTTCACAATTTTACAGTTTTTTTCTGTATTTCTAATCAAATAAATGCAGCCTTAAAAAAACTTCTTTCAAAAACATTAAAAATAGTAATGTTTCCATACTTTTGACCTGATAAATATAAATAAAATACAACAAGCTAAGTAATGGCATACTGAACAATTTTAATGGCAAAGAATCTCTTGATTTCTCTGATTTGAGAGTAAACCATCTGTAGTTTGATTTATTAGAGATTATATATATAATCTTTCAGATAATAATACTTGCTGTTTTACAGGTGTAAAACATGTGGAGAATACATTTACAAAGGGAAGAAGTTCAACGCTCGTAAGGAGACCGTTCAGAACGAACTGTACATGGGGCTTCCCATTTTTCGATTCTACATTAAATGCACCAGATGTTTGGCTGAGATCACCTTCAAGGTACTCGAATGAACACACACATCATACTGCAACACTACAGGAGATGTTCTTGTGTGTTTGTTCAGTTGCACTTCATCTGATTGGTGTGTTTCGCAGACAGATCCAGAGAACACAGACTATGCCATGGAACATGGTGCAACGCGTAATTTTCAGGCTGAGAAACTGCTAGAAGAGGAGGAGAAAAAGATCCAGCTGGAGCGAGAGGAAGAGGAACTCAATAACCCCATGAAGGTCTGTTAGAAACTTTAATCATAAACCACACATGTAGTCTTTTAGAGGTTTTGTCAGGGGGTTATTGTTTTATTCTGTGCTATTCGTGTTTAATTTTTACTTCCACTTTCCATCAGCGTATTTTTGTGACAAAAGCATTTCGTTTTTTTCCACTGGTTTCCACATATGGTGTACATAAAAGCCTATACAGTGTCTTTGTAAGCAAACCATCAAAAACCCATAAAAACTTAAAAGCTAATCTCCCTGAATGCTGCCACAGGTCCTGGAGAACCGCACACGGGACTCAAAGATGGAGATGGAGGTGCTGGAGAACCTGCAGGAGCTGAAGGACCTGAACCAGAGGCAGGCGCGGGTGGACTTCGAGGGCATGCTGGATAAGTATAAAGATATGGAGCGGAGACAGAGAGAAAGAGAGCTGGATGAAGACGAACGAGAGACCAAGTATGAAAAGAGAAAGTCTTGGACATTTTGCTTTTTAGATTTAAAGGGATAGTTCACCCAAAAATTATGTCATAATTTACTCATCCTCAATTTGTTCCAAACCTGTGTACGAATATCGTTGTTCTGCTGAACACAAAAGAAGATGATTGAAGAAACAAACACAAATTGAAGAATGTCAGTAACTAGTTGATGGGCCCCTTTGACTACAATAGTATTTTCTTCCTACTATGAAAGTCAATAGTGTCCATCAACTGTTTGGTAACCCATATTCTTCAAAATATCTTCTTTTGTGTTCAGCAGAAGAAAGAAACTCATACAGGTTTTGAACAATTTCATTTTTGGGTGAATTATCCTTTAATGGTGAAATATTTGTACTTTTAAAAATGAATGTCACACTTCAGGTCCAATTAAGTGCACAAAGATTTAAATTGCAAATTGTAAAAAAAAAATCTTAAATTAGTTTTTTCCCCAAATCAGGCAGCCCTAGATTACATTATCTAAAATATAGTTTATGTACAATATGTAGATATTCCTGTGCATTTGAACCTGAAAATTTCAATGTTTGAATGTCATAATTGTGTTCATATTGTTTACTGTCTACATTTACATGTGACAATAGTAGCACCTCTTTGAGGTTATGTAAATTCACTGCGTAAGTATGTTTTTCCAAAGCACGTGCCCCTGGTTTCACAGACCAGGCTTAAACTAGTCCCAGACTAAAATGCATGTTTGAGCTGTTTTAACTGAAAGCAACTTACACTGATATAACTTAAAATAGTTTTGTCTCAAGATGCACACCAATAATGTTTTTTCCTAAGGTACGTTTATAAAATCTTCTTAAATGGTTAATCTAAACCCCGTCTGTGAAACCAGGCCTTAATGTCAAGATTAAGAAACGTGAATTATATAGTGTATGTTTTGTGATTTAGACTTCTCTCTTCTCTTGCTCCGCATAGAGAGATGTTAGACAGAGCTCTGATTAAGCGACTGAGGGACTCGGACTCTGAGGAAGAGACGGAAAATGCAAAAGAAGAAGGCAGGAAACACACGGCTGATAAACCCACAGACATCCTCACTACAGACGGGAACGCAGGATCACAGGTAGAGAGAAAGACAGTAGCCTCAATGTCATTAGAGTTTCTTTATTCTACCGTTTTATTTCGTTTTTTAACACATGCTGTGATCAAATATTATTATTTTTTCAGCTCTCAGGCAAACAATTTCCTACATTTACTATGGGTCAAAAGTTTTTTTGTTTTTGAAAGTATTTTATTACCATTTATTTGATCTAAAATGCAGTAAAAACTAGCCTGGTTAAAACCAGAGCATTCTCAGTTGTAACTGAATTATGGTCTGGCATTTCCAGAGGGGCGTCACCAACGGACGTCGCGGATAGACCTAAACCCAATCAGAGCGATGAAGGAGATGACGTATGCAGAGCGGCAGAAACATCTCCGAGTGTTGTTCTTTGCTCGGTTTTTAACTAAAAGGAAACGTTCAAATCGCTTAAAACAGACGCGATAGCTGATTCGAACGAGTGATGTTCGACGGCGGCATCCATCTTTGTAATGTAGGCTACAAAATCTGCTTCAAAATCCCAGCGCTGTCGTCATCGTGTAAAGCCCGCCCCAACGTTTCTGATTGGTGCCTCGATTGCGACGGATTGGAAATGGGCTTGAATGAGCTCTTTGCCAGACTAAGGGTGTACTCACACTAGGCACGGTTGCCATGAACCGGGCCCGAGTACGATTGTCCCCCCTCC